ATTTCTCAGTTCGTTCAATTTTCTTTCGAACGTTGTTTTAGCACCAATTGTTGGTTTTTTGATAATATAAGGATCCGTAATTATCGATAATAGTTCCTCAATTGATTCTGAACTTAAATGTAATAACGATAGACCGTCAATGTCTTCATCTAAAATAAATAACAAAAGTAGAACTGAATGCCAGAAATAAATGACTCCTTGTTTACCTTTGAATTTTTGTACGAATTTTTCAAAACCATTTTCGGCTAACCATCTAGAAACATCTTCATTTGTCCACTCCATATGTAATTAATCCAAAACGGAACATAAAACGGAAAAGATTAGGATAGAAAATGAAAAGAAACTTCAAGTCTTTTGTGTAGCTTTTCATGCCGAAACAAGCGCACAGGACTAGTAAACGTGAAGAACGAGTTTAGCGAAGTAAAATGAATCAAAGAATAATCTTTATTCCACAAGAGTTAAACGATAAGGTACACGAACGAAACGTAAATTATTTATATGATAACAGTCTTCTGCTTTGTGTGTTAAAAAATCATTCTTATCTAATATAGTGACGTCAGACGCATTCACTTGATAACACCATAAATTTTGTTTAAATACCACTGTGTCGTAGCACTGAACGATGAATCGCCATTCTTTTCCAATGCTAACAATATATTTTATCTCCGCAAACAACGGTATTTCTTCTCCACCCACTAAATGGAAAACGAAGGAATCACCGATTTTGTATTTAACATTATCTAATATCACCCATTTGACACATTGTACAAATTCACCGTAATTGAATCGATGATCATCATGTAATGCAATTTGTATTGTTTGAGTGAAACTTGTTGTTCGCCGTTTACTAAATTTACCGCTAACAGTATCAGGTTTTAATATATTTGTGTGCATTATCTCATAGCACTGACGTAATTGCACACGTCTAGATATAGTACAAGGTAAATTGATAAAATTATTACATCGATTCGCCACTTGTTTTAATAGATGATGCTTTGCCTCGTAACGCAAATTCATTTGACGTTTCAATGGACCATATTTGGCAGTGTTTCGAGCAGCGTGTAGTAAAAAATGACATTTCGGAATAAACTAACCCGGCAAGATTGTTTGGAACAATTGTACGAATTCGCAAATTGATTCTTCTAATGTTGACAGCCAGGATCTTCTTGGATAATCAGAATATAAAATGTCCCATATTTGTCTGAATAGTTCATATAAAAACCAATATGGAATTCTTTCAATAATATCGAATAAAATGAATGGTAAATTCAAAAATAAGCAATATTTTTCCATCGCTTTACCTACACAGATACGAAAAAAAACAAAGTATGAAGTTTGAGATTGTACTTCGATCTGTTTCTATATTCTAATATCTTTTCGTATTTTTAGTTTCTTTCCTCCACTTTCGAACTCTTCGAAATAGCTTAAATACCAGAGCTCGCACTTACCTGGTATTCTTTTATCCAATATATCTTTTTCTTTGAATGACGGTGGTCGATTTCGTTTGTCATTGACACCATACGCAAACTTCTTTATTCGTTGACATATTTGTGCAGCTGAACATAAACGACTAGACACAATTGTATGTAACAAACAACCGGTTAACTTTGGCATAACACCCTCCAAAATGTCATGCATGATATCTGGAGGTAGAGAAATAACTGGATGAAACGACGGCAAAGCTGAAAGAATTGATTCTTCGTTGATACCATATATTGATTTATCACGAGGCACGTTCTGAACTTGCTTCACCTGTAAATCGTGTGATGTCGTTGTAAGAATCAATACTTGTGACTCATTGTAAACAGTTTTCATATCTTGATGATGAGTCAGACAATAACGACAACAATAACCCGAATTGAATGCACATGTGAAACCGCCGAGTTCGTGAGCTAGATGAGAAAGTAAAATATGAAATAAAGAAGTGAACTGACTGCGTGAGGGTGAAAATGACAGGTGGATACGCTGACATGTAATAAAAAAACAGAAGTTTCGGTAGAAAGAATTCTTTCGATACACAGATTAGCTAAAGCTTTCTTATGACCTCTCTTTCCTTTACAATGAATATTTTAACAGAGAACATACCTGCTAAGTTGTCTGCGCATAGTGTACTGATTGTAAAATAAGTAGGATGCGCATCACCCGATAATACGATACCATCATTTTCTAAACTTGTCAAATCTTGACATAGTTGTGCGAATACTATTCGACGATTTCGTTCGTCGTCAAAATCTTTTCTTGAATATAATAATAGTAAATGAACGGCATTTAACGAAGAATTATGCCGTGCTGGTAAATCATCAATTGAGAAATAGAACGTTGTCAGTTTGTGTGTTGAACTTCTTCCCATCAGCGGATTGACAATGCCTAGATCGTCCGAATACAGCTGCAACAATAAACAGTTGTCTTTTTTTTGTAATATCAGCTGTTGCCGCCCTATTTCAGCATTTCGATAATGATATAGAATATCTTGTCCCTCAAAATGAGAAATATACTTTTTTTCTTGTTTAATACATTCATAAAAATCACATTTTTCAAATAAATTCAATAGAACATCACGTATCGGAATGTAATATGCTTTACTTCCCGTTGGCAAATGTATTTCAATTGGCTTAACAAATGTAAAATACTCTTGACAAGAAGCAATGAATGATTGTTCGTTTCTCGATATTTCGAAAAGAATTTTTTCAATCCATTGATAATGATCGCGTGAAATAATATTATTAATATCTAAATTAAGTTTAGATAATAAACCATCGCAGAATGTTTGTAATAAACAAGAAACGGACGATGCTACTGTCTTCATTACATTACCGGGAAGGACATGGCCTTCACGAAGTCTTAATAGCATTTTAATATAATATTTTTTCAACTCTACCAAGGGATCGCGTTTTTCAATTTCGAACGATGGCAGTTGTTGTTCAAATTCATTGTCATTGTCGACATCCGTCTGATCTTGATTAAATAACAATAATGGTAACTTTTCTTGATCGGCTAACCGATGTGACAAATGTTTCCGAAAATGATAAATAAAAGATTTTGAATAGGTAAAGATAAAACTTGAATCACATAACGGACAAGAAGTAGAGAATCGATGATCATTGCCATGTACTTGTCGAATATGACGTAAATATCCACTGCTTCCATCGACGCTTATGAAACATATCGTACACTGATGCACCCGTTTTGTTGACATCAAGAAGAAAATGAAAAATATCCAAGATGAATAAATTTTAGCTATATACATACAAGTATCGTTCATCTTCGATTCACAGAAAATGGATTTTTAGCGATGATTTGGTGTTAGTATGCGCTTAGCTTTTTAGAGGGATGGAGAAACAGGAAATTTTTGTTTATTTATGTGTATGATTGCATTAGATCCAATGACATATGACGTGTTGAAGGGCATTTGGAGGCGTTTACTCATTTTATTTAAACAGAACACGGAAAAGTAGAAGAAAAACAGTAACTGAACTGAAAAACATCTAAAGTGAACTCTATAATAAGAATGTTTACTATTTACACTCGAGTTTCAAAAATCCCTCACCTGGAGCAGGCACTATATACAGAAAGAGAGAATTTTCTGGGATTCAAAATAAACTATAAATATGTATTTGAAAAATATGCTCATATAGCACAATTGTCGGCCGACATCGTCATTTTTGCCTTAGTGCTTTAAATACTCCTTTAGTCATTTTTCTGACATAATGAAAAATTATATATTTTTCAAAAACATACCATTGCATAGCCCCTGAAATTTTCAACAAAGTAAGCTGGTCAGAATATCCAGGCAGGTGGGACCAGTCATTAAAGATATGTACA